ACAGATGTCATGAGATTACTTTTTGAACACATTGCTCTCAACACTATCTGTATTTGTTTCTTATCAGCAGTGATGAACGCACACATTCCTGTGAGCAATTGATGTAATGACTTTCTCTGATGTCGCAGACTTTTAGATAGAGGGATCTTACGGTTCCTTTAACTTGCATTTCCCTGACTACTTACAGATTTGGATATTTTAAAATATGTTTGTTCTCGGTTCAGAGTCATTCTTCTGTGAATTCCTTTTTCAGGTCTCTCGCTTATCTTGCTATTGTGTTTTTTACCCACCTAATTGTCAATTCATCAGAGGTCTTCCTGTGTTATACGCACCCTCCGTCTTCTGAATGGGACGACTTCCCCCTCACTCTGTCATTTGTCTATTAACTTTGTTTATGGTTTATTTGCCGTATAAAAGTTTTCATTTCTTTCTTTTTCTTTTTTTTTTGAGACAGAGACTTATCATGTTGCCCTCGGTAGGGTGCCATGGTGTCACAGCTCACAGCAACCTCAAAATCTTGGGCTTAAGCGATTCTCTTGCTTCAGCCTCCCAAGTAGCTGGGGCCACAGGCACCCTCCACAACACCTCGCTATTTTTTGACTGTCGTTGTCACTGTTGCTTAGCAGGCCTCAGCTGAGTTTGAAGAAACCAGCCCCAGTGCATGTGGCTGGTGCCCTAACCACTGAGCTCCAGGCACTGAGACTATTTTAGGTTTTTAACATGAACTTTATTCATCCCCGAGCTGGAATCAGACTGATCTTTCCAGCAGTATATCTCTGATGTGAATGTCTTCCATGACTCCACAGCACCTGAGGGACAGACTCTGTGGATGTGTAAGGCCCTGAGTGACACACAGCTCCTGCCTGGAGCCTCATTTACCCTGTGAGCTCCTTGTCGCCCTTGCTCCAGCCGTCTCAGTCTCACTGTGCCTCCCTGGGTGTTTGGTGTTCTAACTGATGAATAGAATGTGGATGGCAACAGCTGGCAACCTCCTACCACTGCTGGGATTGCAGGGATTTGCTTGATTTTATTCTGCATCGATTAGATACCCTTTTTATAAAGTTCCTTGGCATTACACACACACACACACACAAAATATTTACATTTTGGAAAGCAGAGGTCCTTTTGTGTCTGAGTTTCCATGGTGCGTCACAGATGCTGGGCTAGGTTGTCTAAGACAATTGGCTGACATCATTCAACCTCCTGAGAGCAGCCACTGTGTCTTAGTGGCAGCCCCATACCAGGTATTCTGAAGTGTGTCCAGCCACGATCTGGTTTAGGCGGGCATGGTAAGACACACAGACACAGAAATGACTGTCATGAAGAAACAGGTTCCGGTTCACGGGTCCCTAGAAACAGGAGCCAGGGGACAGCATGCTGGGCGATAGTGGGGAGGCAGGTGGAGAGGGCGTTATTGGGGTTTTCATGTTGAAGGCTGCGGGAGCAGGGCAGATATGCTGAGTAGACTTAGCATTGGATAGTTTGAGTAATTTTGGCATGCTTGGGGTCATGGGGGGCGTCTCTGGTTTTCTGGGACCTGGCATGATTCAGGGCAGGGGCAGATTTGTTTGGGGTGAGAGAGGTTGATGGCGGATGTGGCTGGGGCTGTAGGCCGTGGGTTGGGTGGTTTGCACGGATAAGGTACACTCCCAGGGAGTGTCTGCTGTCTCTAGGAATGAGCCAGGCCTGGCCTTAGAAGGGTGGTCTCTCCAGTGTCAAAGTCCCAAATACCAGAGTATCAAGAACACAGAACATAAGAAAATATGCCTGAAAAATATACTCTTCTCAGATAGAACAGGGGGCCTGATTCTGGACATTGTCACCTGGCTCAGGGTGGTTACATGTGTGTCTGTGTCCCCACCTCTAACCAGCTGCTCTGTCCTTCTCAGGAGGCGTATAGAGTGGGGGAGCTTCCTATATACAGGTGATAATTACACATTAGGTGTTTCTTCCTCTCCTACAGTGAACTATTGCCAAATAGACTGTGATACTAACGCAAATGTGAAATCAGAGGGTCGTCAGAGTGCACGACATTTTCCTTCGACAGAGGGGTAGAATTATTCCCCAAGGTGGTAAATCCAGAATCAGGGAAGTTTCCTTGTCTTTTGTTTCGTGAAATAGCAACACGAGCTGTACTGATCTTCTTGAAAACGAGAGGTGTTGAAGTATGATAAAGATTTTGGACCCACCCTCCTCTATAAAACAAACGGGGTGCAAAGTGAGATGGTTTCTGAGGTTCTCCGCCACCTCTAGAACGATTTCTTCTAATGGTCACTGAGGGACTGTTAGACCTGAAAGAGGCAGTGAAAGGTTAATCCTCTAGGAAGGGGCACTGGGGCCGAACCTTCTGGCCGATACCGTCCCAAACGTTCCTCTGTTACATTTCCAGATGGCATCTTGGGCAATTCAGGACATCCTCTGGGTGGCTTGATCGTAAGTGACTCACATGAGTCATACAAAAACCTTTGGTCCCTTGAGCAGCTAATTAAGACACTCCCTGCCTTAAATACTTTTCCATCTGTTTCGCCTTTGTAGGAAAAAATAATGAGGAAATTACATTATGTCACAGGAAGACTTTTTTTTTTTTCCTTTTTTCCAGTTGACATCCCCAAACCAAATTATTATTTCAATCTAAACATAGAGAACATGTCGGATTTTTAAGAACTGTACACTGGGAAAAACTGAGGCAACTGTTTAATATCCATCTTTTCAGGACTCACTTGCTACTCAGAGCTCTCACTTACATGATAGGGTTGTTGGTTCTGGCCTGGGTCACCTGCCTGTGTCACCTGCCCATGTCCCCTGCCCGTGTCACCTGCCAGTTTCCCCACCTGCATCATCTGCTAGTGTTCTCTGCCTGTGTCCCCTGCCCATGTCCCCTGCCCATGTCCCCTGCCTATGTTCCCTGCCAGTGTTCTCTGCCTGTGTCCCCTGTCCATGTCCCCTGCCTATGTTCCCTGCCTGTGTCCCCTGCCAGTGTTCCCTGCCTGTGTCCCCTGCCAGTGTTCCCTGCCTGTGTCCCTTGTCCGTGCTCCCTACCCATGTCCTCTGCCATTGTCCCCTGCCTGTGTCCCCTCCCCGTGTCCCCTGCCTGTGTCCCCTCCCCGTGTCCCCTGCCTGTGTCACCTGCCATTTTCCCCACCTGCATCATCTGCTAGTGTTCTCTGCCTGTGTCCCCTGTCCGTGTCCCCTGCTCATGTCCCCTGCCTATGTCCCCTGCCAGTGTCCCCTCCCCATCCCTCCTGCCCATGTCCCCTGCCTGTCCAACATTCTTCTCATAGTGTGTCGTTCTTTCTGGTCACTGTGCCAGGAACATGCTGTGGTTCATCCCTACTTTCGTGTCTCCTGTGTTGTTAGAATGTTTTTTCTGTTCTCTTCAACTCTTAGAAATAACTATACCCGTGGTAACAGCTTTTCTTACTTTTACAGACTTCACTGATTCCTCTTTCTTCTGAACTCTGCGGGGTCTTACAGTCTAGTACCTATCTACCTGGCATCTACCTATCCATCCATCTACCATCTATCATCTATCCATCCATCCATCCGTTTATCCATCTACCCACCCTCTCCCTCTCCTCTCTCTTTCTCCCTCTCTCTCTTGCTCACTCCATCTTCCTACGTTGCTCTATATTTTTGTACTTTCTCCCTGATTTGATTATAAGCTCCTTGAGGGAAGGAACCACATGTAATATTTCTTAAACCTTCACAGAATTTATTTTGTATTTTTTTTATTTCTTATAGCATAATTGTATACATTCATGCAATCATGGGGTACAGTGTGCTGTTTTCATATACATTTTGAAATACTCTCATCAAACTGGTTAACATAACCTTCATGTCATTTTCTTAGTTATTGAGTTAAAACGTTCATACTCTACTTTTAGAAAGATTCACTTGTACCCTTGTAAGGTAAACCACAGAGGTGACCCCACCAATCTCCCTCCCTCCCCCCATCCACCCCCCCACCTCCCCCTCCCACCCCCTTCCCATATTCTAAGGCTATAATTAGGTTATGACATTCCTATAAAAGCTATGAATTAGTTTCAAAGTAGGGCTGTGTACATTGGATACTTTTTCTTCCATTCTTGAGATACTTTGCTAAGAAGAACATTTTCCAATTCCATCCATATAAACATGAAGGAGGTAAGGTCTCCATCTTTCTTTAGGGCTGCATAGTATTCCATGGTGTACATATACCACAATTTATTGATCCATTCGTGAGTCGATGGGATTTTTCTATTTTTAGTAGAAACAGAGTCTTGCTCTTGCTCAGGCTGGTCTCCAGATCCTAAGCTCAAGGGGTCCTCATGCCTTGACTTCCCAGAAAAGTAGGATTTACAAGTGTGAGCCATGCTCCTGGCCAACCCTGAACAGTTTTAACAGGCTACTAAATTTACACCATCTAGCTACGGCCTTAAACAGAGATTTTGAGGCTTTCCTTTTTCTGGCTTCTAATTCCTGAATACTCCGTTGAGTTTAGTATTGATTCTGTTTCATGATAAGGTGACTGCAATCCAGATGGGGAATCCCTGGCATATCATTTCTCTACGTGGATACCTAGTGGATATTTAATTTTAAAATATGAGAGTTTCTATAGCCATGTTCTGATGTTTTGATCAGCTCAGTGGTCCTGCAAATGTGATCTAAAAGTGGGAACTTTTGTTAGAAATCTGGTATAGGTCAGACAATTGACTTCTGAAATTCCAGTAACTGATTGGATTACTGAGCAATGTTGGAAATCTTCACTGTGCTAAAGTGTTTGCTTGTACATTATGAATTTGTCCTTCAGCTAAGGTTGTCTTACAAGTGAAGGGACTTAACGGGGGGGGGGGTTGGGACAAGACAAAGGAAAGGAAGTGGGGATCAGAGGGCAAAGGCTCCCCGATTCAGGATTATTTCAGGTAAAAAGACCCTCGCCTGCCCCAGAATGTTTGACTCGCGCTGTCAGCTGTTGCTGAGAAGACTGTGTGCTTTAATTCCTACAGAAAACCAAACCTCTGATGGCCGAATTCTCGGTGAAGTCCACCATTATTTCTCGCTATGCCTTCACGACGGTTTCCTGCAGAATGCTGAACAGAGCTTCTGAGGACCATGAAATTGAGTTTCAGATGCAAATTCCAGCTGCAGCCTTCATCACCAACTTTACTATGTAGGTGCCATGCTGGACAGAGGCACAGGTTTCTGTGCGGGGTGGTTGGCGTGAGCCCAAGACGATGTGAGGACCACGGCCCTCTGGCTGTGCGAATTCATATCCTGGTGCCTGGAGTGTGGATGAGAAGGTGGCCTCCTTTCTTTCCTTCTCTCTCCCTTCCTCCCGTCCTCACTTCTTCCCTCCCTCCTTCTCTTCCTTCCTTTCCCCCTTCCTTTCTCTCCTTTTTCATTCCATTTCTCTCTTCTCATTCTTTTCCTTTCCCTTTCTTCCCTCCAACAAATGAGTGTTCATTACAGGCCAGCCACTCTTCAAGGAGATTGGTATACTTTTATGGAAAAGACAGTGTTGGCCCAGTGTGGCGGCTCTCACCTGTAATCCTAACACTTTGGGAGTCTCGGGTGGGAGAATCACTTGGGCCTAGGAGTTTGAGACCAGCCTGAGGAAGAGAGAGACCCCATCTCTACAAAAAGTATGAAAATAAGTTGGGGGCAGTGGTGGGCACCTGCAGTACGAGCTACTCAACAGGCTGAGGCAGGAGGATCTCTTGAGCCCACGACTGAATTTGCAGTGAGCTATGATGATCCTGTGGCACTTCACCCAGGGCAACAGAGTGAAACTCTCTCTTTGGGGGAAGACAATGTCACAATGCTTCAGATATTATAGTGGGGAATAAATTAATAAACAGAATGGTAAGTGAAATAGTTTTAGGCAATTATGAATGTTATGAAGATGACAAGTCAGAGTGAGAGGGGCTTGTTAGGTAGGGAAATGAGGAAGTAGCTTGGAGAAGACCAAGGTCAGGCTGAGACCAGAATAAGGAGGCAGCAGGAGACTTCTGGCATCCTAAATTGGATATCTTTCCTCTTCTTGTGATCCAGGAGATAAAGATATGCCAACCAGGGTAGGTGTCAGGTTTAGTTTTTGGTCTGGGCAAGATTCAAGATGGCAAATGTGTGTGGAAGTTTGAGCAGAGCTCGTGATTTTCCCCTGGAGAATCCCAGAGGCCCTGTGGGTTGGGTCTCACCATTTGGACCTGTTGAAAATTGCCCTTCAGCGAAATGAATGAATCAAGGGTAATGCCCTGGTCTAGAATGTGTTCATTCTGCATAGCCAAGAGGATATAAATAAAAATATTTTCTGGGGTTGTCACGGTTATAAGATCCGTGTCTGAGTTTGTCTTCGAACTGTAGGCTGGTGACACAGCTGTCTCTTGTGTTTCAGGATTATCGGAGATAAGGTGTATCAGGGTGAAATTATGGAGAGAGAAAAGAAGCATGGTGACAGGGTGAAAGAGAAAAGGAACAAAACCACCGAAGATGATGGGTAAGTGTCTCATTAAGGAATTAAAAATCCGTTTCAGCAAGGTGTCTCGTTCGCCAGCCCTTCCCTACCTATCTTCTTTTCTAGTGCCAAGTACTTTTCTCTTTTTCATTTTTATCAAAATAAAAAAATACATACTAGGGTGGCTCAAAGGAGTAGGGCGCCTGCCCCATATACTGGAAGTGGCAGGTTCGAACCGGCCCTGGCCAAAAACCGCAAAAACCAAACCAAAACAAAACAAAATAAAAAAAAAAATACTAGTTGACAATATATTAGATAGATGTTTATAATATAAAAAGAAAATTTTACTAAACCCATGCATTGGCCGCCTCTTCCTAGGAACACCCAGTTCTAATGTTTCTACATTTAGCTTTCTCTGTAGTCACCTCCCTAACCCTAAATACTATGGTAGCCACCCTTCACTGTTTTCTTTTGTTTTCTGTTTTCCTTTCCTTTCTTTTTGTTTATTTATTTATTTTTTGAGACAGAGTCTCACTCTGTTGCCCTGAACAGAATGCGGTGATGTCATCACAGCTTATGGCAACCTCAAACTCCTGGGTTCAAGCGATCCTCTTGCCTCAGCCTCCCAAGTAGCTGAGACTACAGGCACCACCACCACCTGGTTAATTTTTCTCTATTTTGTAGGTTCATGGTCTGGCTTTTGCTCAGTATGGTCTCAAATCCCTGTCCTTAAGCACTCCCCCCACCTCGACCTGCTAGAGTGCTGGGATTGCAGAATGAGCCACACTGCCCTGCCTGACTGCTTGATAAAAATGAGATATCATCTTTTGACCCTCTGGTGCAGAGAAAGAGGATTTAGCAAACTTATAATACTCCTACGTCCTTCTGCATTGCAAATTTTCGTATTATTACTTTATTTTTTCTTCCATCCATTTATCAGTGTGTAGGTCATCTTGGGCTATTCCTACTGTCTTAAATGAGAATATTTATTCCCTCTTGGCCTTCACACTGCCTCTCCTTCCCCATTTCTTATACTTGTCTTTTGTTACTGATCACTTGTTTTGCACTGTCGGAGTTACTGACATTTATTTTTATTTATTTTTTTATTAAATCATAGCAGTGTACATTAATACTATCATGGGGTACAGTGTACTGTTTCTATATACAATTTGAAATACTTTCATCCAACTGGTTAACATGACCTTCATGTCAGTTTCTTAGTTATTGTGCTAAGACATTTATATTCTACATTTAGAGAGATTCACATGTACCCTTATAGGATGAACCCTAGGCGTGATCCCACCAATCACCCTCCCTCCACCCACCTTCCCACCTCTCCTCCCCTCCTTCTCCCCTCTCCCCATATTCCTGGGCTAAAATTGGGTTATAGCTTTCCTATGACATTTAAATTTTGACCTCTAACAATACTTGTGGTTTCTGTTTTGCCTTTAAACTGAATCTAAACATTGGGAACTAATACAAAGCATTTGCTTTTTTAGGGCTGTACAAATAACATTACCTGTGGGGCCCTCTGTGCACTAAGATTGGGATTTCCTCACTATCAGGCCGACGTGAAGGCTTCTGTAACCTTTGTAGGAAAGTGACCTTTGAATCTACATAAAATGATGTGAACCTATAAATCTGATTTTGTTCATTGACGAAAGGACATAGCTTTGGGAAAGTTAGTTCTCTAAAATATTAAACTGTCAGAAATTTTGCTGTTGGAAATCCTATTAGTGAGAATGGTACATCTTTTTTCTGGAAGACCTGAGCCAAGGGGTTGCTAAGCCACAGAAAAGCAGCCAGACCCAAAGATTCAGATAAGGGGTTTTCAGACCCGGAATTCCACATTTATCTTAATGTTGTCATTACCAAGGATGCATAACCTGGAGACTGCTGCCCAGTCTAGCTGATATTAACAGCTTTGAACATACCATGCTGTGCCTTGAGCCTGTCCACACACTGCTTTGCTTAACTTTGTCCTGTATGTCACTCTTCTCCTGTCTCTTCCTTTGTCTGGTGAGATGGCTCATGGTGCGTCTGGTGTGTGGCCTCCCTTGCTACAGCAGACGGTTAAAACCCAACTTTGAGGAACTACAGTAGTCTCAAGTAGTCTTTATCACACACGTTCAGAATCTTGCCACAGTTTGGTTTCGTTAGCTCATGACCTATAAATTTCTGTTTTTCTTCTCATTTTCTATTGCCTTCCTTTTTTTGCTCATGAGACAAAATTTAATTTTGTCACTATTAACATTTAGCAAGACACATAACTCATTTGAAATGATGACAAGAGAAACAGTTGTGATCAAGTTTCTGTAAACAGTGACATCAGTATCACCCTTGATGCTGGAAGACATCACTGCTGGGAAGATGGTTATGATTTCAGATCTGTTAAAACATGCTATTAAAACACAGACGTTGGTGTCTCACGTCAGTAATCTCAGTACTTTGGGAGGCTAAGGTGGGTGGATCGCCTAAGCTCATGGGTTTGAGAGCAGCCTGAGCTAGAGTGAGAACCCCGTCTCTTAAAAATAGCCAGGTGTTGTGGTGGGCACCTGTAGTCCTAGCGACTTGGGAGGCTGAGGCAAGAGAATTGCTTGAGCCCAAGAGTCTGAGGTTGCTGTGAGCAATAACACCACGGCACTCTAAACACACACACACACATCTCTTCAGACAGTGGAATACTATTATGGCTGTTACTCAGGAGTTTCTTCTTTTCTTGTGAGTTGGTTTTGTTATTTCTTTATTTCGCATTTTCCTCTTTCTTGGTTTCCTCCTTTACTTGGCTGGAGTACATGCTGAAGTAATTTCTCAGAATGGATGCATAAGAGGTAAATGTTCTGAGACTTGGATTAATATTTTGGTTGTCTGTGGAATGTAAAGTCAGAATAATTCTCTTCTGAACTTTGAGGCATTGCTCCAAGGTTTTATAACATCCAGTCTCACTGGTGATATGTCTCATGTGGTCTCATATTCCTTTTCCGTGTTTTCTCTACATGATGTTTTGAAGTTGTACAATAATGGGTTTAGGCATCAGCCTTTTTTTATTATTCTGCCCAACGCTCAAGAGAAATTTTCCATCTCAGTACTTGTGACTCCGGGAAAGACGAGTGTGGGATGCCTGTGTCTTGGCCATGTACTTGTCTATGGATTTGGGATTTCCTCCCTGTAGTTGGTCCCTCTTGTCACTTTCGCCCGGTGCTGTCCTACCTGATTTAGATCCTGTAAGGCGAGTCTCTTTCTGAAGTTCTGCCAGTTTGGCCCTCCCTCTGTGGCAGCCCCTTCTGGCACATTCTGAGATGTAAAGTTCTTGCTCAACTCCTTCCCCCCAGGTCTCTGAAACTCCTTCCCCCCAAGCTTTGAAAATGTCTTACCCACTAAGAGTCACTCTTCCATGCTTATCCCTTTGGTGAATATGGCGAAAGTGTTCCAAATAATTTGTCTTTTTCTTAGCGTTGCTGTCTTTCATGCCATAGTTTTCCTCCTAAACATATCCGCCAAACGTTACCAAGGTGTAAAATCCTAATGTACTAGCTATTTTAAAGTTATTAAAATGCCAGAGTTCATTTGGCCATCCTGTAAAGGGGAGAATGCACTTCACACCTGTCTTCTAATGGTTTGCAGCCTTAACTGTCCCCTCTCTAGATGGCCCCCTTGGTCTGTCCCTGGGAGAGGTAGAGGCCAGTCGTCTGTGAAGTCCCTGCGACTCACCATTCTTTGCCCCTGGCAACCTTCCTCCAGTGCTGGTCTTCACTTCCTCCGGGATTGGTTTTAACTTTCCTTTCTCAGGGTTCTCTGCTGTGCCCACTGGTCTCCCTGGAGGCTGGTACCCGGAGGGGAAGGAGGGAACCTGGCTCTGTCCTACTCTGAACCCTCCCTGGGGTCCCTTTGTCTTCCCTGACAGGGAGAAGGGGTCTGATGTATTCAGAGCCTCCGTGGTCATCCCCAGCAAGGACAAGGCCGCCTTCTTCCTGAGTTATGAGGAGCTGCTGCAGCGGCGCCTGGGCAAATACGAGCACGTGGTCAGTGTGCGGCCCCAGCAGCTGGCCGGGAAGCTGGTGGTGGAGGCCGACATTCTGGAGCAGTCGGGCATCACAGCCTTGGAGGTGCTGCCACTGCAGAACAGTAGGCAGAGGGGCAGAGGGGATGGTGAGTACGGACGCTGGTGACCTTGGGTTCTCATGAACTCAGAGCGGGCCTCGGCTCCAGAGGACTCCATAAAGGACACGTGCCCTCCTCACAGGCTGGGAACTGGGACGAGAGCCACTGAGTGAAGACAGTGCCTAGTACTCCATTGTCATTGTTTTTTAAAGAGTTCTGATAGATTTTAAAATGTTTAAATTATAATTATGGACACAGTGGTAGCACTTCTGGGAATCTACTTTAGGAAAAAGATCTGAAATATTGGGGATGGTTTATGTGTGAGCCTGTTCGATAATATTTGGAGTAGCGAAGTCATTCCTTCAGCCCAAATATTCAATGAGTGGGAGGAGATGAGTAAATGACAATTATAAGACAATTCAGCACGTCAGACAGAGAGAAGGATGAAGTTGTACATCTGTTGGAACGTTAAATAAGCCTACTTAGTTAAGTATGAATGAGAAAAGTCTAGGAAGTTATATCAAATAGTCATTTCATATTAGGCCTATGGGAATATGGAACCATTTTCTAAAAATCTGTTTTTAAAAAGCAGTATGTTACCATTTTTCTAAAATCAAATAATGAAAAATATGTGCTGTAGATTTGATTTAAGATACAGATATTTTGGCTCCATGGCGGGACCATTCAGTGTAGATTTTTCTCAAATTCTGATTTTTTTTTTACATCAACACACAATCATTTAGGTCTTTAACGTCTCTCCACTTTATGGTGACGTTTTCAGATTTCTGGTACTTAGGGTTTCAGGCTGCTGCACTCCAGATTGATTAACAACAGAATTTAACACAGCATTAAAAGCGGACATACTTAAAGTGCACACCTTGTCAAATTCTGAATTTTTAAAATGCCATTCCACTCGTTTGAAATGATGATGAAAAATTCCATATAATATAATTTTAATCACTATGTTAATTTCAACTAATAGGTTGGGCTGTATATATTTAATATGGCAGTAAGTCTGATCAGTGTCAAAATGGGGCGATGAGATAGAGAATTTCCAAAATTTGCACCACGACTGGAATGACAAGATTTTAGGTCATTGTGTTACCGAGGGCATGGAAATTTTAAATGCTAAATAAGCAAAGTGCAAAATCCGAATTCAGTTTGGGGGCTGCAGGGAGAGCAGCCCAGAATGCTTTTTGGATGATATATTTAGGAACAAGATGGGTAGGACAGTACAGAAATGACTAGTGGAAAGGGCAGAATGCTGCTGTCTGAGGTAATGCAACACCAGCAAGGCCTGGGGTGGAAAATACACACACACACACACACACACCCCCAGCGCACAGTGCTCGGGGAGACTTGGGCCCTTTGTTATGTGTTGACTCCAAGCCCTGAGCTCGACATCCTCACTCCAGAGCTAACTGAAAAGGCAAGGATATTGTCAGGGTCTCCGACATTTAGAGATACAATGCCCCATTCCCATGGCATGTAGGTGGCAGTTACATGGTTAGTGGATTTTAGTTCGGTAATTAATATAACCTGAAAAAAATTCCTGGGAGCCTATAAGACTCAGCTTACACATCTAGGAAATAGGGATGAGAACTGCCTCACGTGGTCGTCGTAACAGCTTAGTAAATGTTATCATTATTTTTTTAGAGTTGGGTCTCACTCTGCCACTCAGGCTGGAGTGCAGTGGCATGATGCTGTTCTGAGCTCCTGGGTTCATGTCATCCTCATGCCTCAGCTTCCTGGGTAGCTAGGACTACAGGTGCACACCACCACATCTGACTAATTAAAAAGAATTTTTTTTTTTTTATCATGACAGAGTCTTGCTATGGTGCGTAGGCTGGTGTTGAACTCCTGGCCTTAAGCAATTCTCCTGCCTGGGCCTCCCAAAGTGCTGGGATTGAAGGCAGGAGTCCCACCTTTTATTGTTACTGTTCTCCCATCTGTACAATAGGACTTCCGTAGCTGACCCCCTCCCTGCACTGACCACCTCCTTAAGTTGACATAATTTTCAGACGGGACATGCACCACATGTGTGTATTGGAATAGTAGGCCTAGTTCCTCATGGTGACCACCCCTGTGTGTTACCGTCCCTTGGTTGGTCAACTTCCAGAGGTTCTGCTGTACATCTTTTTAAAGCAAATCTTAGTTTTCTGATAAGATCATAGGTGCCTTTGAAGGCCAGTCTATGATTGATCTTTATCCTCTTGGTTTTTAAACAGTAGCTAGCAAGTTGAGTGTCTTCAAATTAGAGTAGAAAAGAAAACTACACACAAATAACAAAGAATGTTTTAAGATTTTATTTCTGTCTAATAGTAACTTAGAGGGAAGTTTTCCTGTTTGCATCATTTTTAAAAATTTTTATTCAAATCAATTTGAGGGTACAATATTTAGGTTATGTTGTTCTCAGTTCCGAGGTAAAGTTCCATTTGTAGAAGAGCCCCTCCCCCAGGGGGTGTGTCATTCACCCTCACAATGTGCACATTAGATGAGGTCCCGCCTCACACCCTCCCTCCTTCTGCCATACGTCCTCCCGCCTCCCCCCCCCTTCTCTCTACTCCTGAACTAGACTATAACAGTGTTTTATCATTCCTAAGAACATGTAATCGTTTATGTATGGATTTCATATTAGTAAGGAGTGCATTGGGTAAGTTTTCCTGTTTGCACCTGCAGTAGCCAAGTGTCCTTTCAGGAGGAAGGAGACTCTGAGTTGGCAGGGTCTCACAGGGAGGGCGGGTGTCTGTCTGTGTCTGGGCCAGGCACAGGCTCAGTTAGTGTGTCCGGAGGAGAGCTGAGGGGGGCCTTGCATGGTAAGGAAGAGTGTGTGTTGTCTCACTTTCAGAGCCACTGTGCGCCTTTGGAGATGCGTGCGTGTGGTGGGATGTATGCACACGCGCCTGTGTGTGTGCGCCCATGCACACGCGCGTGCACACACACACACACAGGGGGTACGCGAGGTCTGGAGGGCGTATAGATTACAGTGTCAGCCCAAAGTCTGCTTACTGTCTGTATCCGGGGCCTGTTAGTATCTCAGAGGAATTTTTCCAGACCATTGATCTCTTGGGGTCTGTTTATTTTTAAGAAAATTGTTTTCCTTGCTCTTTCTACCAAAGCAGATACTTTGCTTCCAGAAGAACACAGAGATTTCATAAGCCTTTCCCAGAGCCAGGTGCTGCAGGGGGACGGACTCTCTCTTTCCCGTCCTCATTCCCGCTGTTCAGAGCTCAGCTGTTATCCCCCAGCAGCATGGTGGCCTTGGCAGCCTGAAGCACAGGATGTTGTGACTTTGTCCGGACACCACTGTGGGTTTCCAGAGGAGATGTAGGGTAGAGATCGCGCCAGAACTGGGCTTGCCCCAGAGCATGAGCTGTCCTTGCATGGCTGAGGCCCCCGCCAGCACATTCCTCTGCTAGATCTGGCTGTTGTTAAGAAATCAGACTTCTGGAATCTGTATAAGCAAATCTCTGACCACTGACCCGTTTTTATCTTTAGAAGTAACAATTCTAGATAAGGAACTCTACTGCGTTCTAGATACTAAGCGCTGTGCATCATCTCACCCACACCTTACAACAGCTCTCATATTTTTCTAAATTTCCATGTTGTTTATGAAGAAGCTGAGGTTTACAGAGGTTCAGTAATACGGGCAAGGCCTCATGTGTAATTATTGATGCAAACAGACTTTAAGCATAAGTCTACCTGACTCCAAGTTCATGCCCTTAGTGCTCAGGCTGAACAAGTCTGAGGTATTCTCCCAAAGTTTCCTGTGAGTCCTTTCCGTGTCTGGCAAGGCAGATCACAGGAGTCGGCGGAAGTCGATCTATGGTTTGCTTTCTGTTGATAATCACATCATCCCTATGTAAGAGTCCTATGGAATTTTGATCTTAATAATCAGAAGAAGTAAGGAAGCTTACTTGGAAAGAAGAGAGCTACTCAGGACACGACTCTGTCACTTTCCCTGTTGCCGGGGGAGGGGGCTGAGCCACACCTGTCTTTGAGGACAGGCTAGTGACCAGACACATAAGCTGCACAGTCAGCTTTGGCCTCCAGTCTTGTCCTGTATTTCAGAAGATGCCCGATAAGGAATTGAACTGAATTGAGTTTAAAGTTTTATGATCTTTTTCTTTGGTCTGTGCCCATCGTGACTCTGCCCTCGCTGTGTGGGCCCTCTTGAGGTTGTATTCCTGGGCACCTGCTGTGGTGCCTGGCTCAGTAAATATTTGTTAATCAAACTAAGGAATAAATAACTATTGGTTACAATGGTACTGTTGGGTTTTCAGCACTTTTCTGGCTTAACATTGGTGAATTTTGCCAGATCTTGGGTCTAGCTCTTATGTTGTTATGAAGGAGGGATTAGAAGGCAGAACTAATAATTTACTTGGGTTCCAAAAATCTAGACAAATCCCCCTTTGCTAGAGTTGCCAGGTCATACATAGGATGCCCAGTTTTTTTTTTATTAAGTCATAAACACATAGATCATGTATACATTGATGCCTTAATGGGGTACGATGTGCTGATTTTATATACAATTAGGAATGCTTACTTCAAACTAGTTAATATAGCCTTTACCTTATTTACTTAATTGTTGTGTTAAGACATTTATACTCTAAGCTCAATAGATTTGACATGTACCCTTGCAATAAGGATGCCCAGTTTTATGTGAATTTCCAATGAACAGTATATCCTGTGCAATATTTTTATATTAAAAAAATCCATCGTCTGTCTGACATTCCCATGTAACAGGGTGTTCTGTATTTTGAGTTGTTAAATCCGCCAAGTCTCCCCTGTTAAAGGGCCACATGGTGACTGACTGTTAAGCCCTTATTTCCACATACTTGCCCCAGATCCAGTCCCCCCTCAGCGGCTGGAAGGGCGTGACCCTATTTGGCCTCTGAAATCTCTGTGCATTTGCCAGGAAACTATCTCTTTGCTGCGTGAGGGTTTCCAGCATTGTTCGGCACAGAAATAATTCAGGTATGAATCACTTGGCCCCTTAGTTGGTTTTGTTTTGATTTTTAATGCCGCTATGAAAGCCCCTGTTACCT